GGGAAGAAAGGGGGCGACGCCGATCCCTCTGCTCGGGAACACCAGCACCGAGCGCTCTGCTCATGCCATGCATACGCATCGCACGCATGCACGCTCTCACCATGGCCAGAGCACAACCATGGCGAGACCACCGCGTCTTCTACATCGCGGTAAAGGCGACGTTGACACCCCGACTGGCTCCGCCATGATGAAAGACACACCGCGCTCACCTTAGCCGAGGATGAAGCCCACCGGAGCCCTGCGTTGCCGCACCGCACCTTGTCGGAGCGCCACCGCCTCCGCTTTGCCCCACCACCGTGGCCGGAGGCGTTAAGAGCTCCCGGAGCCCCTTCGACCTGCTCGCCATGGCCGTAGCAACGTCGGGGAGCTCGTGCGCACCACCAATCTCTGGTACCGCCGCCACTGCCACCACACCGCCGCTCGCCGGTGTACGAGGACCGCCGCCACCGTGGCCATCCAACTGGAGCCGCCTGGCCACCACGTTAACTTCACCGGGGCACCCATCATGGCCCACCTTAATTGCACACCCGTGCCGCTGGAGGGCCTTGCCGGTGAGCTCACCACCGGCGGGAGCACGCCGGGAAATAAGATGGGGATTTTCCCTTCGCCGGCCACACGTCCGTGCACTTGGTGCACGTGAACCGAACCCTAGGAAGGAGTAAGTGGACCAAGTCCTTCATAGACCGGCTCTGCGGTCTATGGACCAACGCAGGTGGGTTCACCATGAACCGCGCCTCACCTGTCAGTCACCGTTTGACCCCGGACCCACATGTCAGTGACCAACCGAGATGATGACGTCATGCTGATGTCAGCGGTACCCCACCTGTCAGCCGCGATTTAGTTCTGATGATGCCATGTTGACGTCATGGCGAAGATGAGACCACGCCAGCGTCGGGGACCTCGGCAAGTTCTCCGACCACCTCGGAGATCTCTCCGACCACCTCAGCGATCTTTTCGACCACCTCGGCGACCACTCTGACCACCTCAGCGATCTCACCGACCACCTCGCCGACCACTCCGACCACCTCAGCGATCTCACCGACCACCTCGGTGACCTTTCCGACCACCTCGGCGACCTTTTCGACCACCTCGGTGACCTCTCCGACCACCTCACTAGCCGATACACCACTCCAAGTCCCTATATGCCACGTGAACCAGTCACAGTGTGACACGTGTCAGCCCTGAATTAATCAGCCTTCATTATTTTCAGAAATGGATTTAATCTTCGGAAATTCATAACTAATTCATACGACCTCAGAAAAATACAAGACCAGAACCAAAATTCATCTAAAATCGAGCTCTACGCAATGAACCCATGTTTGAGTGAATTTGGCTCTTTTGAATTTTTATTGCTTCTTTGTGCTATTCTATAGGCGTCGCTAACACGACTATAATACGATCGTTTGCAAACTCGGAGGAGAACCGGATGGACGAGGATCGAGAGTACGGAGATGACTACACTGAAGGTGCCACATCCCACCCAACCTCGTAGCACCTATTACGCATGGCTAATATAGAACTGATATTGCTTTACCTTATTGCTATATGATAGGACTTGCATGGTAGTATGCTTACTTGATGGCCTTTACCTTGACGCAACCTTACCCCTACTTACCCTGCTATTAGGCTAGACACACGCTTGCTGCTATATTTCATTGCTTATTACTTCTACTACACTTGTACTACATTGATGCGTGGTGGAAACTGATGTTATCTGGACTATGGGAAGAGTGTTGCGTGTGTGACTTGGGTGCGTGGAGGGTGAGGGTTTGTCGACCAAGTTGGAGTATACAATGAGCCTGGGGCAAGTCTTGCCGTGGGGTGCTACCTGGGCACCCCTGGAATGGATACCTGTGGTGGATAAATGGTATATAAGGTGGCCCTAGGTGTGAACCTGTGATGGGAGGAGCCTGGGGTGGAGGTGTTGTGGTGGCACGGTAAATGGAAACCCTAATGAAGACATTCTGGCTTGGTCATCCCTAAGGACTTACTAGTACTCAGATTCACCAGGAAGCCTTACGTACCACTCGCCCTATATGGTGCGGGACGGCCGAACTACTTGGTAGGATATTGCCACTACTGCTAGGTTGATAGCGGACAGTGCAAGGGAGGTACGGGGCGCGGAGGATTCCCCCCACACCCTTCCGAGACTTCATGGAGACCTTGTGGACCCGACTCATGACTCACAATTTCAGCCACCCCAGACTAGACTTGGGGTGTACCGGGGTGAATGGTAGAGTGGCATTATCCTAGGCTAGCAAGCGGATGGAATCAGCCCAGTTGACGACGGTCAGCGAGGAAGGCGGATCTTGTGGTTATGTAAAACCTCTGCAGAGTGTATGGTTGATCGATCGATACATATACCGACCTGTCGCCTATGGACCTTTTCTGGATTTCGCTTAAACTAGATAGTGAGATGAGTCCTTTTCTCCCCCTGGGAGTGAGTGTTCGGACGTAGCCAGGGGCTACGGGCCATGAGACAGTGCCGAGAGGGAGTTGGCCTATCGACCGAGCGATGGTATGGTTGTGATGTGGTGATGATGTGGAGATGGTGGTATATCGATCCCAGGATCGAAACCTGGCTCTGGTCGGGAATGGGGTGGAATGGGTGTGGGAATGGTGTTAAAACTTGACCAACCATTAATATATATATACTTGATATGCTAAAACATAGGAAACCCCAGCCTTATAGGTTCCTTTTGAATATATCCAACTTGCATCCAATTTCTACAAAGCAACGCTCATAGGGTGGGAGTAGCCAGTACAAATCGTACTGATAAATTTTGGCACACAGGTTCTGCTGAGGAGTATAGCTCTGAGGAGTTTGACGGTTGAGGGATTCGTTCCTACGCTCGAGTTTGGCGATCTTATCTTCAAGTTGTTCTGAATGAATGCTATTTTTGATTCCGCCAATGTGGCGATGTAATAATTTATGTAATTCCGCACTATTTGTACTCTGATATTATCGTTGTATGGATGTGGTATTCGACTGGAATTTGGGTAATATGATCTACAACGGTCATAATACACTTCGACTCTATGGATTTCCCTTCGCGGAAATCAGGTCGTTTCAGTCACTTTGTACTTCTCTATGTTGTCCACACTCCTGTCATGGTACAAGCGTCTATAGCATTCTTTCTTCTCCTTAATAGCCCTTTGGACTTCCTCGTTCCACCACCAAGTATCTTTAGCCTCGCCTCCACTTCCTTTGGTTACTCCACACACCTCTGAGGCCACGTTTCGAATGTTGGTTGCCATCTTCTCCCACATGTTGTTTATGTTCTCTTCTTCCTTCTAAGAGCACTCTTTGATAACCCTTTCCCTGAATACCTCTGACGTCTCCCCTTTCAGTTTTCACCACTTTGTTCTTTCAATCTTAGCTTGTTTATCCCTACGGGCACGCACCTGAAAACAAAAGTCTGCCACCAAAAGCTTATGTTGAGAAACAACACACTCCCCTGGTATCACCTTGCAACCCAAACATGCTCGTTTATCCTTTCTTCTTATGAGGACAAAGTCAATCTGGCTAGAGTGTTGTCCGCTACTGAAGGTCACTAGATGAGATTCTCTCTTTCTAAAGAAAGTGTTGGCTATCATCAGGTCAAAAGCTACCGTGAAGTCTAGAACTTTCTTCCCCTCCTGATTCCTACTACCATATTTAAAACCTCCATAAACTGCCTCGAAACCTGCGCTTGTAGTACCTACATGCCCATTAAGATCTCCTCCTATAAAAAGCTTCTCACTACTAGGTACAGCTGTAATCAGGCCATCTAAATCTTCCCAGAACTGTCTCTTAGAACTCTCGTCGATGCCTACTTGGGGGGCATATGCACTAATTACGTTCAAGACCATGGCCCCGTTCGCTGGTCTGAAACTTGGCTGAAAAACACTGTTCCGACTGAATTGTTGTGAGAGAAAAATCTTTGTTAATTTGGTTTGATGAGCGAAGAATCGAGAGATGGGGAGCGGTATTGGTGGTGGTCAAAACCAGACAATGAATCGCCCCCATATCACCAATGACAAGCTTGACTAAGATAATCTTATCTCCTTGCCTTCTCACTCCCACCACACTATTTTTGAGGCTTTTATCAATCAAAATTCCTACTCCATTTCTATTCGCAACTGTCCCTGTGTACCAAAGCTTGAAACCTGTATTGTCCACCTCCTTCGCCTTCTGACCCTTCCATTTAGTCTCTTGAACGCATAATATATTTATACGCCTCCTAGTCGCGGTATCAACTAATTCTCTTAACTTACCTATAAATAACCCTATATTCCAACTACCTAAACGGATCCTAGTTGGTTCGATTAGCTTCCTTATCCTTTCGCACCCGTCGACTCAGATACGAAGACCCTTGCTCATTTGTCACTACACCCAGGCGCCGATGTAGCGCGCCATTAAGGATGCGACGACTCGATCCTTGATCACTTGACACCGTGCCCAGATCGCGACACAGCGCGTCACGGGGGTGACGACCCGGCCCTTGCTCATTTAACACCATACCCAGGTTCCAATATGGCGCGTCACTAAGAGGGTTACGCCCCAACGGTTTTCTTTCGAGTTTCATCTCCATTAGAATGGCTAGATTTAACGTTGGTTTGCCACGCCTATCACAACCCTCTTCCTTTAGCAGGGCTTGGAACCTGCTATGTTGAGACAACATAGGCGGAGTTCAAAACTAAGCAACACAAATTACAAATTTCATAAGCCTTTGTGAAGACCAACACCAGTATCTCGGCGGCCTCACTACGAAATGAATGGATTTGTAACACAATTATGATACATGGAATACTATTGTGCTTGTTTCTCCATGTAGGCAGCAACCATCCTTATCCTTCGGTTATTATATCTGGATTCTGGAGTAGTTTCGCTCCAAGGTGAGCGCCTATGTCCATCCAATATAAATGAGCAAAACATGATCGGCCTGGTTGTCTCTTAGACAGGCTGAGTCCCAGACCCCCAATATACACAACAGTATACTTCTTGATGTTCTCCTATCCTATGACCTTCCTGATGACATGCCAGAGGTGGCATGTATCTCCAAGGAATGCTCCGGTACGTAAGCAAGGCCTGCAGGACAACAATCACTTCTCAAGTCTTAAAAGGATAAAAAACATATGATATGAACCAGCCACAGCACTGAATGTATTTAAGACATTTGGTAATCTACTAAATCCACTGCATTAACATTCCCAAGTCACTTCAAGCCAGGATGATGCAAATAACAAACTCCTTTCTTAAAATTGACAATCTGTGTCCACTCTATGTCTAGCTGCAAAAGTACAACTTGCTGTGTTGGTAACAGTCTACATCTAGCTGCCGAATCAGCACTTCTTTTGCAAATTTGTTTTTTTAATGAAAATATTACCTTTCTCCCTTGCGGTTATTTGCAGTGTATCAAGTGTGATAATTCCATCTGTTAATGGAAGCAGCTCAAGTTTGACAGTGGTGCTTGAACGAGGAGGAACACACCTGTTAGAAACATTGATCACAACCAAATGTCATTCTGCAATGTTTTGGAATATAGGTAGCTCAGTTGTGAGTTGACTCTTTTAAGTAAGTGAAAACAGGTAAGGGTCAATACCCTAGGGGCACTGCACTTTGCAACCACAGATGAGTACAGCCTGAAGCATTACTCATTCTATTTCCTCCATTATCACCTTCTTTTGGAGATGTAGCTAGGACAGAATTCAATCTTCGAAAGCCAATTCCATGTTTTCCCAGCCCAGATCTTTTTGCTGACTCATTAACACCATCAAAAGAACCATTTGGGGTGGTTGGGGCTGAGTTTAAGGATACAACTGAAGAAGAACCAGATGCTTCAGGAGCAAGGACATTTAATGTAAGGTTTTCGGATGTCATATTAGTAGCTTCGAGTGTTAGTATCTGCAGGAAATGATATATCATTATCATAGTGATAAATTGGAGAATTTCCATAAAATAAGTGAGGAGATACTGCAATAACCTGCAAGGGAAGTTGAGGAACTCGAGCACCAAGACTAGGATTTCGTAAAGACAGTTCGGATGATACAGAGATCATAAGATCACTGGCTGCAGAGGGTCGCCAGCTTGTTGCTTGCTTGAAAAAAAGTTTAGATTCTACAAAGATAAAAGGGCTAATCAGAAAAATCCACTCCATTCCTGTTTTGAAGAATCTATTTGTTTTATCAATAGCTTACCTGTGTAATTGCAGCGATAAGATACCAGTACAGCATATTGGTCGCTTAGATTAGCGTATGGCTCACCAACCTTTGGTGTATGAGTATTTAAAGTAGCACCGGTCATCGTTGGGAGTGACAAGGCTGGAGGTGCATAACCGCTGGTCTTACGTTCCCTTGAGGACATAGTTGCTGGCTTGAGAATAAAAGAGTGCTCCTCGCCCCTCCTAGAAAGATAAGAAATAATGTAGAATGCTTAAAACAATTGTCACACACTTTATTAAGAGGCACACGACAATAAAGTGAATCTTGGATATGGAAACAACATTTGTGGACTTTGTTCCCTCCACCATTGAAGAAACCACAATTCTGCACCACCATACGAAGTTAATTTTTGAGTTCTTAAAAGCAGAAAAGTGGAAATTTAGGGAATGAAGTGTGTGCGTGTGTGTGTGTGGGGGTGGGGGGGGGGGGTGGGGGGATCAATTATGGTCCCCGAAACATGTTGGTATATTTTATGTGCTTATTTTGTATCTTAAGACGCTAGCTTTAGCATTTTCCAAGGGGAATAAAATTTCTTCTGCTTGTAATCATGCTGTGCTTGAACTTTACATAAAGCTGTAATAGCAGGTAGATCACGAGCAGAATCAATTAGAAAACTTGCATATACCTGAGTGCTAGATTTGGTAAGCTGTGACCATGTCCAACCTCAATACTAGTAATTGGTAATGACAAAGGAGCACCTCCTTTGGATGCCTCCTCAAATACAATAGTAATTGCGTCAATGAATACAACTATATCTTTCGCATGAGTAGGAGCAATATTCTGCAACAGGAATTCATGATATAAACATTATCTTTGGAACATTAGTTCACAAAATGAAAAATGAATAGATGTTTTGATAATATTCCACACACCTTTACAGTGACACAGAGAAGATTCTCCACAGTACATTTTGCAGCAAAAGAATGAACCTCAATGGGTTGAATGATTTCAACTTTTCTCCTCCATCTTTTCCCTGGTAGATACACACCTTCTAAACCACAACGTACAGAATACCGTTCAGGTTCTAAAGGAACTCCTCTAAATGAAAGCTGCCCATCATTTATAATGTCTGGGGTTTTTGCAGGTTTTTCAGGCATAAATTCTTGACTTTCAGATATTGGTGGTGGTCTTATATTATTCGGTGTCTGAACAGAAGAGGCTGAAGGCATGGAGTAACTTCTGAAATTGAATATTTGAGAACCAGAAGCAGAATAAGATTGCTTGTGTGATACACTTGGATTGAGAGTAGGGGGTGCCAAAGAACGAGGCGGTAATGTGCGATCTAAAGGGAGCAGCCAACTAAGCAGCTCCTGACATGGGTCATTATTACTGTCAGAAAGTCCATCCACAAGATTCTGAGGCATACAATTGTTCGATATACTTTTCTCAAACTGAAGGACTTCAAGCACAGGATCTTCCAATTTGTTAACGCCAACATTCACTTGCAAAACAACCTGCATCCTTCCACCAGAAAACATCATTGCTAAATCAGCATGCATTTAAACCAACGAGAATTACAACAAAAAAAACATAGCCAAATAGTAACACCACTAACTTCTTATACACGTTTATTTTTAATTTAAAAAATCATTCTTTTCTCAGCATCTAATATATTAATGTATTACTCCATATGTAGTAGCATAGAAGGATTCACATAGATTTTACAAAAATGACTTAATTAATTGAGAAATTTGAGAAAACTAAAGTAAGGTATAAGTTTCTAAAACAATCACAAAACGATAAGAATCAATTTAACAAAACTACACTTCTATTGGCATTCTATATTGCTAAACTAACATTTTTAATAAAAATTGCAAACTGAACTTCTATTACAATACTGCATTGCATACTACGTAACTACACATTTCATGTTGTTTCACATATCACAGAACTACACGTTTAATTTTTAAGCCCAAACAAAAATGCAGTTTCACGATATGGAATACCAAGAAATGTGTAGTTCTGCAATATGAAGTGAAAAAAGCACACTGTTTTCAATTAATTCTAAGAAGTGTAGTTTTGTGATGCATGAATATAAGTGTATTGCAAAATTGGTTGCAAGAAGTGTTGTGTAGTTTTGCAAAATTTATTCTACCTATAGTGTAGTTTTCTGAAATTTACTCTAATTAGTTTATAGACTGCACTTTCAAAGTTCATGCACCTAGGTGACACACAGGCAAAAGTTAATGGACCTATGGTGCATTTAACTCTTTATAGAAGGCAATGTGATATTTAAAAGTTTCCAGAACACATCAGTAAGATTGATCAGTGCTGCTAAATTGCTAAAACTGATTAAATGTGCCATTCCAGTCTACAATAGCATCAGGTGGCAAGTTCCTTACATGTTTGCCCTTATTAATTGGGAAGATATTTATACTTCCCACCATTTAGTAAAGCCATTTAAAGGAAATATTGCCTAAAGAAATCAAAATGACAAGTGTAAAAATATAAATTAACTTGGGTGATTGACAATTGACATTGAATTTGAGTTAGTAGCAGATTTAAGTCAATTTCCAGTAGGTGCCTGCTGCTTGGCTAAGCTTAGGTTGGAGCACAAAACTTGCAGTTATTATTTATGCAATGCCCATCAATGTCTAGTGGCCAGTGGTCATGCGGTACAAGAAGTTGTAGTATACAATGTCACACAGTAATTAAAAAGAACCCTTCAAAACATACCACTATGTCTCCGTTCTGCAGAGAATAACACTTGACAACATCTCGAGCGACTCCCCCAGATGTGCTACCATCAAAAATCCCTTTATCAGAAATGGTATTGTAAACATTACTCTTTGAGCTCTTACTATTTCCCTGGTTATCTGATCGTTCATCTGCCGTCGTAGCTGAAGTTACTCTTTTCTTGGACCAGAGAGGCTCATCTGACTCCGCAATCCGGACAAAAAAATTGGATTCCCTAAATCTTTGCAAGACATGTTCGATCTGCTGCTGATGGTCCTCCATCTGAAGGAGAGATTGAGTCTCCAAAATATCATGTTCTGAAGGAGAGGCTTCACCATTGAGTTCAACATCCTGATAGCCACTTTCTCCAGCTGCTCCATTATCATGACCATTTGCACTGACAGGGCTAGATTTATTTGTAGAGTTTTGCAAAGAATTTCCATTCTTAGACATCACTGCAGCAATTCTAAAGGGGGATATAACCTGTACATCTTGCTTAGAAGCTGACAGGCACACCAGTATATGGACCTGCTCGCCTGATAACTGAACCAAGTCAATTCCAGAAAATATGTAATAACTAAGATGCAATAGAACCAGAAACTTGTACTAAAGTCACAAGGAAAACACATTTACCAGGGAAAAGGAAGGAACGGTCCAGAGTCTGCAACTGAACCATTTCTGATATGTCATTCAAACTTTCAGGAAGTGCCTCTGTAAGAAAATTGTAGATGTTACTAACTCGCTGAGATGTTAAGATGGTTTTACTAGCATGAAGAAGCTACCAGTAGCATGTCACAAGGAAAACAAATTATTGGACTTAAAGTGTTTAGCAGGTAACTGTTAGGGTTACACTTCCACACTGAAAACAATTAATGGTCAACTAGTTAGTAGTAAAGGAAAAAAAAAGCTATATAACCTTAATTATGCAATGCAGATTAAGGATGGAGATAAGGACTAAGGAGTGATCAATTGGCTGATGAAAGATAGGTCTGATTAATAAAAAGCATCGGTGTGTTTATGCCTTTATGATATATAACAAAAAATGAAACGAGCAAGTCAAAAGCACCGAACTGCATGGAATTGTTATCCATCCTTCATCCTCCGCAACATCGGCATGTGTCCCACTGGGGACCAGGCTTTTCGAATCTAGAGATGAAGGATCCCCACTGATATCCCTAGAACCATTATTAGCAGCACCATCTTCGCTGCGGGTGGAGGAGGGCTGGTATGAATCGTCCGCGATGAGACTCTCCAGTGTCGTAGTCGGCTTTTGTAAGGCATCCCTGAGTTGATCTTGCTCTGAAATTCTTGGAAGCTCAGGTGCTGCAGGCTGCGTAGTTCGGTAGAGGAAATTCATTGAGCGACACTACTCGAGTTAGCCCCTGCAGAGCAAATGACAGCAGAAGGGTAAACAGACAGATCCACACCTTGATCTGGTAATTTGCAGTTTAGCGTCACATAATAAAAAAACAGAGGACATTTTTAACACAGCATTTTCAAGTCCAGTCGGACTAGGTACTACTAAATGGATCATGGATTGGACTACATCAGTATGGTAACACCAAGGCAGCAGCACCAACCCACAAGTAACTGGATCTGAATGGAGATAAAGAATGGCGAAATTTAGCATTCACTGAGAGCAAAACCAAGCCCACGGTTGACTAATGCATCTGCCAATTTGTGCTTTACGCTGAAGAAGAAAATGGTTTTGCAACCACCATCCATGTTACGTTCTTGAACTGAACTGAAATTAAACTGAACTCATGCGGGCAAATCCAAAGAAGGCTATGCTACAGCTTAGCCATGGCCAATTGCATCAACGTTTTCTGGCTTCTGTGATGCTTGAAGGTCGAATTATACATCATAAGTGGCTGAATCAGAAAAATCAAGTCTCCATCCATTTCGCTGAGCCGAATCACGGAAAAGATCAAACAAAGCTGGCACTGTTGCGGGAACTATCTATACAGAAAGGAACCGCTGCTACACTAGGATTAGCACAAGCATACCCGCAAGTGTGGGAAGACGGGAGGAGGGCGCCGATCTCTGAGCGCCCAGCGAAGGGAATTGACGGGGACCTGGAGATGGGCGAGGAAGGAGGATCACCGGAGATGACCAGAGCAGACCTCGCCTGGACTCGGATCTCCCCGCCCCCAACTAGACGGAGAGATGGGGATCCGCCAAGAGGGAGGGGGACCACCCCAGCGTCGTGCAGTGCTCGGCGGCGATCCGCTCCACCCCTGTGCTCGTGCAAGTGCAAGCGACGCGGCCGTGAATTTCCCCTGAAACAAACGATGCAGACGGTAGACCTCTGATAGGCCGGGCCGGGCCAATCTACAAGCCCTGAATTCGGTTCCACCGTTCCGGCCAGCCCAGACCCAAATTAAGCAGGAAAAACGCGCCAGCACCGTGCCAACCACCCCTCCGCGTGGGCTGCTGATGGCAGATTTTTTCTAGTGGGCTGTCCTTTTTCTTCTGGGCCAATTAAAACTTTACGTGAATGGCATCTAAGAAAAAGACAAATCTGCTCGTAGCACCATCTATGTATGGACAAGAGAACATCATGAGCCGGCGTGGCCTCAGGATGGCCACGTCGATGAATCAAATGCCGGCCATTGGATTCCTGATGATCGATGGTGCTTTCATTGACCATGGAGTTGGATCAGAGCTCGGTCAGCTGGTCTGTGCCCTCTGGTTGACCAAGGATTGGTCGGAGGACCAGCCTCTGGCCCAAAAAGCTTGGCCAGAAGGCCGTTGTCGAGCACCCATTGGCGAAGGAGCTAGTGTGGGCCCGTCGGGAATTTTTTTTTTTAATATTTTTTTAAACTAATTTTAAATCTACACTGCTTGTTTTTATTTTCAAAACTAATACTTTTGGCCGCGTCTATTGTCATGGCGTGGCGAAATGCCTGTACCGTGCCATGCATGGTGGCGCGACGGGAGGATGACATGGCGAAGACCGGGGGTGCTGACCGGTGATGTGGCAGGGCCTTCCGTGCCACCGATCTTGGCAACATCGGCGCGTGTTCTCGATCGGTGAAGTGCGGCAGAGCCGGCTAAATAGCGACGGACCGCCCTGCCCCACCGCTGCGCCACCGCCTTGCCCTGCGCCTTGCTTTCGCTCTGCTCGCCGTCGCATCCACACTTTGCCTGTCATGGCGCGCCTCCCGCCACTCTCAAGTCTTTGTCGGCACCCGACCCTCCGTCTGCCGCCTCCTCTCCCTTCCCTTTCATTCCCCATTACCTCCCTCCCTCCTTGGCCTTGTTCAAGGTAATAACACACTTTTTATTTTAGTTTGAATGGTGGATTGAAATATTATGAATGGGAGTTAAGGTTAGGAGAAAAATTATGTTTGAAAACTATGGGTTATGGTTTGGAGGAAGATATTAGTTTGATTTTGTCAATGTTAAGGTTAATTATTTAGTTAAAAGTATGTTTACCATGTATATTTTTGTTGCTATAAGTGTTGGTTATATTATTTGAGTTGCAATTCAAATGATTATATTTTACATTAATTTGCATTGTTTTGATTGATGTTTAATTTGAACCGTTTTATTAGATGGAAGATATGTTTTGAGAGCAGTTGTGACGAAAACGGGGTCGTCCTAGAGAATTGTACCCCGATGAGTCTAGCAAAGATGCCCCCGTTCCTCCTAACCTCCCTTTCCCTAACTGTGACTGTGGTCATCCGTCCGACGTGTTTCAATCGAGATATCCGGACACAGTGGCTCGTTGCTTCTACACATGCGTAGTCTTTTTAATGTATGTAATTGTTTCCATATGTTTTTTTTTCTTTATTTGTATTACTAGGTTACTAATATTTTGTTGGAATTTTTTTTGTGTAGGCCCATAAGAGGTGCTTTTTCTTTCAGTGGATCGATGGTGCAGACAAATTTGACCCCAGGTACATCTTTTTCGACGATTGATGGAGAGGGCAACATTCATGAGAGCACTTCGAGCGGTGGGTTCCACCTCCCCCTAACCCCCCTCCAATGATGGCTAAGGAGAAGCACTTAGCCGTAGTTAGACGACTTGAGGAACCTCTCTGTGCGATTGCGGAGATCGAGCTATGATAAACCCTGAGAATACGTTGATGTTTGTGTATTCAAATAAGTATGAAGTAAGTGTAAAGTGTATGTGTTGAAATGTTGAGCTATATGTATTCATGTACTAATGTCATCTTATTTAGGTGTTTTCAATAGCGAAGTGTCGTTTCAAGGAGTGGTTGTATGGTCCTAAGAACCAATGGCCGGAAGAACCGGCAAAGGCAAAGCAAAAGAAGAAAGAAAGGTTAATTTATAAAGCACCTACAATCAAGTGTTAATGTGGTATTAAATTCAACTACGGTCTAGTTCCTTCAAAGCTTGGAATAGGCCATTATTGTGGCCATATGGTTGACTATGATGAGGTTGGCTATTTTTGTGGTAAACATGAAATTGTATTTTGTTTTTTTTTTGCTACGACATATATGATATAATTTTTCGTTTGAACAGAGCACTAGGAAATACAAGTGGGAATGTTATGATGGTCAAGCTAAGTTCTTGGATGAACTGAAGGGGAAGCAAGTAATTGCACGGAAGAGAGGATATAGACCTGACTACGTCAACCTATTCGTTAAACATCACAAAGACAAGATGCGTGAGTTTGCTAGATAGCGCAGTATTTATAACCTGGTCGATGTTGGGCTTGATAAATGGGGATTGGAGAGACGGATGACGTTAGAGGAGGAGAGGGCAAGGAAGGAGGCAAGGGAGGAGACAAGAGTATAGATGCAGGTCTTGAACGAGCATGTTGTTGCATTATGTGCCAGTGAGTGCTTAAAAGCCTTTTTTCGTTACCTGATTTTAAATATAATATTATCACGTTGCTAACTGATTACATTTTATACATGAAGGGATTGGATGCAGCGAGAAACATGCTGCAGAGGTGGCTCATGCAAGGTATGAGGAAAAGAAGTTAGATGAGCATAGAAAGCGAGTTGGTTGTATCGTTGAATCACCGATTATGTTGTCTGATGAGGAGGACGAGGATGAGGATGACACTGGCAGACTGAGCGAGCTCATCGCTCTAGCAGAGGTGGGCTTGCAGGTGAAGGAGGATGAGGACAACACTGCCAGACTGAGCGAGCTCATCGCTCTAGCAGAGGTGGGCTTACAGGCAGAGGAGGCTGAGGACAGCACTGACAGACTGAGCGAGCTCATCGCTCTAGCAGAGGTGGGCTTGCAGGCTGAGGACGCGTTCTTCACTTAGGCCGCAGAGGCCGTAGATGAAGCGGAGGTCGCTTACTACAGGCGACAGCTAGATCAGGGCAATACAGGTAACCCTAGCCACATCAACAGGGTTGTGGTAGATGATTGGTACTCGGACGATGAGTTGCTTACTCAGTATGTTTCTAACTGAGGGTTTTTGAATTGCACCGTCTATTAGTTTTATGCTTTATTAATGATCAATATAGCTATGTACTAGAACTTTCATTATGTTGTCTTGTTTTCATTTGAACTATTGATGTATTGTACCCATGTATTATGTACTCGGATTACCCATGGTCAATCTTAAGTGATCCCATCCATTTTTCACCATCCGACCTATCCGTTTGTCGCTCTCCAAGTTTTTTTAATAATAGCGAATGCGTTGAGAATTTCTAAAATGAACAAAATCGACGCGCCAACCCTAAGCCCAGGTTCTGTCTATGTCTAGGTTCTACCGCGCCATATCGCAAGGTGCGCGGCACTGACGCACAAAGCCCCATGGCGTGGCAGGACCTGGACACAGACAGAAATCGACCAGCCTCAATTGCAAGTGAACGGGAGCTGCTGCTGTCGATGCTGTAAACAACTACAAGTGATGCCGCGACCGTGCACAAGTTGAAATAGATATGAAGCAAATAAATGGAGTCAATGCGCAAGTTGATAAGTTGACACAACATTTTTATTGGTTCATGAGTCTACAAGTTTCGGACGACAATATTCGTTCGACATAAGTTTGACATAATCAACTAAGTTCTAGGAGTGTAAGGATCCCTCGGACGCCTCTTGAAAACCTCCTCATCGTACTCCACCTCAAGAAGGGGATACATCTGGTGCGGCGTGGGAGGGACCATCCTATTATAAATTGATAAACAAAGAGTTAGAGTATTCAAATTAACAATATTCAAATTAACATTATATAGCATTGTAAATTTTAAACTACTTGGTATGCAATACGAACACAATATGAAAGCACCTGCTGCCCTCATCTTCTTTGCCTGCTAGCCTTGTGGCTAGGGTCTTTGCAAATGGAGCAAAGATTCTTGCCACGAGTCTCGTTGAAGTCTCTCCCTCCGTACATGTCTTCACCATACCCTCTCATAGCGTCCATGT